GCATTGAATCGGGGGATTGTCAAAGTGGACGTGTTTAAGGCGCTGCACATTAAACAAATGGACTGAAATTTATATAAATTGGAGTTAGATTATGTCGTTGCAGTAACGGAGATAGATAAGGAGTTCAATAGGCAAATGGTTTTATATTGCGAGGAACGCTAAGTGCAAAGTGTATGCTGTACATGTGTGATATTATTTTCGAAAAGTCATTGTTATTTAAAAGAATACGGCTTGTGAAGCCTGCGATGTATTTAGTGTTAACTCGGGGTGCTTTGACGATTGTGGACTCTTCATAGTTTATTGATTGTAATAGTTAAGGTGAAACTTTAATTGACTGCGCTAGATGGTACAATTCTTATCGGAACACAAAATACAAAACTGTTCGCAGTTAATTAGGGTTCATTTTTTAGAATTTACTAGATATTAGTTATTCGCCTCACCATTTTTATAATCATTTCTATGGATTCGCCATTTAGTAAATCGATAACACAATGTTTACTAAATTAACATTTACAAGATGTTTGATGAATATATAAATTCAGTAGTATCGCATTACTATAGATAAATGCGTGATTAGACGTCAAGTAGTACCTGTTGAAGTAATAAACGAAATTTAAAAATACCTCAATTAACGAATAGTTATTAATTTCCCAGACTCGCCAATAGAATAATTTGAATTATCAAACATCCTGTATGATAAGGATATATCTCATGCTACATAGTAGAATATCATGCCATTGTTCAAATAGTATAGGCAAAGCCGGCCTTAAATGTTAGGGTAATGTGGGTATTTTTTTTAAGTTTTCAAAATGTGTGTGTGTGAATATAACTGCATTTCGGTCCAAAAGGAAAATATACTGATCGTAGTTTGTAAAGGAATTGAATGCAAACATACTGCCATATTTTTGTATAGTTGCGTAAATAGTCCGTAAAACAAAAGTACCCACAGAGTACAAAAGGAGGCCCAGGGGACGAGACACATGGACACGATTTATAAGAACAACACTAAATATATTGCCTTATATCTTAAGATCAGTGTTGCCAACGTGCAAAATATAGATACAATATATGTTAGCACAAAACAGATTATAAATGTGATCATTGTTATCGACTTTTAAATATTCTACACATTTATTTATTGTTACAAAAGGACAGATATAGAACAAGAAAAATCATGTAAAATAAGATTATAAATATTGGAAATTATTAAAAAAATTGTGGTCGATGACTTGAGATTTAATGTTGCGTATATGCACATGAAATATGGCAAATCGCTATAATATATTAAAGCAAATTAAACTTTGAGAAGGTTGTGCACGATAGCTTACATATGTATCGTAATTGGTCTGTCCAAAAAATTGTATACTAGTTATAACTAAAGGTGGACTAATTAGGCCAAACGAGGTGAGTTGATAAATGATGTGCCTCGGCAGAATCAACACCTCATAATTATATTAAGTTACATGTAATCGTTTAGTTTTAATCGAATTTCTTAGTGTACCATGCATGCCACTGGAGCCTATAGACGCCAAAATTGGTACCTGACGTATAGAGTACCGCTGCATTCGATAGAAAAAAAAAAGAAAAATTAAAAATATTTGCTAGATTGTTGTAAATAGTCAAATGTAATTTTGTATGTTACGTAAGAATTTTTGAAAGTACATCTCTTTTGCATTAAAATAGAAGGTTACGGCTGCATTAAAGTTTATAATCTATACTCGTAAGTAATATCGTGTGTAGTTTGTTGTGAATTTAGGCTTCTATGTCACCGTATGCTAGTTATAGAATTCGGAAGTCTCATTGTAAAAATGTAAAATACACGCTAATAGATATTTTGGATTAATTATGAATGATATATTTAAGGTTAATCCTAAAATGACAATTTTTCCTTTAATATTTTTATACAGCATTACAAATATTTATCGCAATTAAAAGTTTATAGAGGTGGGTCAGTGTGCAATTTAAAAATAGTCTAAATTGTATAATCGCCTTATCGAGAGAGAAAATAGCTGTCCTTCTGCGTGTCTGCTTGAGGTCTGTTACTTATGTTGTTTATGCAATGTGTATGTTGGTCGAGTGTCATGTAACTTTACCGTTGTTGCTAGGTGTAATCTGGGCCACCCTACGTGGCCCTCTCGCGGTCGAAAATCGCAACTGACAATGACAATTTTTTGTCATCTACCGTCGATAGATTCGTAACATCTTCGGTCGCCCTAAACTAAGATCTTATTATAGTCTATTAAATCTAAATTAATAAACCGATAAAGAGGCCTTCGGGCGTAAAAGTAATTCACTTATACCATCGATTTCCTTCGCATTTCATTTTCCAACACTTAAACACTATTTTAGATTCATTAATATATTCTTATTTAGTGCACGGGCACATTTTTTTTTCATTCTTACGTCCTCAATTTGTTTAAATTTTCGTGGTGTGTTAGTTCCTGAATTAATCATGTTTCGATTCAACGACGCTTTTGTCATAAGTCTGTGACGTGGCAAAAAAAGCCTATTCTCAAACTTAGGTAGAACTAATTTCATATTCTGTGTGCATTATATCCTAGTATTAACAACATTGTTGACTATTGCTAATAGCTTGAAGTTGTTAACGTTTTTAGAACAGAATGATGAATTTTTTATGTATTATATACGTATGTAAAAGTCTTGCTCTATTATACGAATATTCGCTAGATCCTTTTTGTAAGCTGAATGCCATCTCGTGTTGTTACACATAGTCCTTTCTTATTAAAGTAGTATCAATATATAATGATGGCTGTGAGGTAAATTATAACAATTTAAATTTATATTGTGTAAAAATGAAATTAATAAAATAGGACTGGGAATGACCGCGCTAATGATCAGTTGTCTACAGATATTTCGGATTGGCACTATCGAGTATTTAAAATTAAAATCAACATAAAAAAATTCTTCTAATCGATTATAATTTTTAGGACATCGTACTAGATAGTGTCGAATCAAATACAATTTCGGCCATCTTTGCTCGCCGACATTTTGCGTCGCGGGTTGCCATTTTTGTAAAAAGTTTGCCATAACTCTTCTGCATTAATCTTATACTTTAACGTTACTTTTAATATTCTACTCACGTTCATAGAATGCATTTACACTTCATTAGAATAATTTTATTTTTGGCAACCCTAAATTCCAGCTCACAGCTTTCTTCGCAGTTGCTCAATTGTCTGTTAATCTTCACATCTTACGCATCAACATTTTACAAGTTTAAAAGCCATCTTTATTCGCTTAATGCTATCAAAGGGTTGTATTGTATGACTTAAGTGAACACTAAGTAAAGTCTTTCGATGCATCTGATATTTAGTGATAGACAGGGAACCGATATATACGAACCGTTTATACCAAGCAATAAAGTTACCATAGAAAATACTTAAAAATCAATAAAAGTATCGATTTTAAAGTGCTAAAAAACCGCTTAGATTGTGTACTCAAAAGTAAGACTAACAGAGAGAGATAGCGTAAGTGTTGCCCTAATACTGCCCAAATAAATCGTCTAATGGTGACTTATAAATGCCCTTAGTGTAGAATATGAATTCTTAATCTGGACTAAGGGTTTTAGCGACCTAACGACTCTGAGTAAGTTAGCCTGATTTGGTATAGACTCTAAGGGGTAAAGGATTAAAAAGGCGCCAGTTTAAATAATCCCATAAATCCCACGTAATACATTGACCTTGAAACGTGTACACTCCAACATTTCTGAAACCGTCTTTATAAAATTGTACATGCCAATTCCATTCTTAGTGTTAAGGTATAAAGCGCATTATGGCTTGCACGGTTTTGAAGGATAGTAGGAAATGTTGCCATGTGCACGGACGCGGGAGTACACGACTCCGGGTAAATGTAATGTTACCCGACTGTTCGTAATAAATCACACCACATGACAAATTATTTAATATTGTTGATGTTGATTGTTAATAAAATGCAAATAATGTAAATATCAAAATAAATTCTGTATTTGTATTTGACTATTATGTTTTATTTTCAGATTTTCCTCTTCCTATTATTTTTTTAGTATTTCCAGATTGGACAAAACATAGACAATCAGTGGAACAATAACCATAGAGTTGATTAAAAAAAAACACAGATTAGTAGAAAAAATAAATGTTTTAATTGAATAAACATGGAATATTCCTACATTTGACAATCAAACAATTGTTTTATGTCTTAATGTTAAAATAATGATCTTCAAACATAATGTGTATGATGTCACAAAATACTAATTCTTTGCAAACAGATTTACATTTAGTTACAGTATCACAGATTAAAAAGAATTACAGTAATAAATGCATGTTAGATACGATTACTGTGAGAATAATGTAATTAAACATTATTATTAAAATGAATCATTAAAAACAAGACACATCAGGCATTTTCAAGAAAAAAAGTGACAAAGCTTTTAACTTGGCAATAAACAAGATTTCTTAAACATTGGAATGTCAAAACATTGTAAATAGACAAGTTGGCATTACTAAACATCTGTAGTTAAAAAATATAACTATACAGCCTTTTAGAGAAAAAAATGTGCATTAAAAAAGTGTTACCCATAATTTTAAAGTCTATAAAGTACATAAAATAAGTACCAAAATTATTCTGGTATTCGCAAATGTCAAAATAAAAAACATTTGTACAATAAACATAAACTGTGTTAACAGAGACTAGAAACAAGCATAGCTAGCATGGCCTATTATATTTAGGTTGAGTTTTCTTATATTTGCCAATTCGTTTTGCTGACCCGACACTGGCAATTTTACGTCTCTCCTCATCCATAGACAATGGAGGAAGCGACACTTTCCTATTACCATATTGTGGATTCCTCATCACATCAATTGGTGGTTCAGGGGTGTAAATCGGTTCTAATCTTGCTACATCCCTATGCCTTGCTGTAACAACCCTACCATTATGTGACTTACCATCAATACCATATCTCCCAGCATCCAGTGAAACATAAGACTTCGCACTACCCCTATTCACTGATGATTCAGGTCGATTCCCTCTCATCCAACGTGAAGATGCGACCTCCGATCTCAAAATTGAATGAGTCTGCCTCTTTCTATACGGACTTCGTATTTGAATTGGTGTTATTTGTAAAAGAGACGAAAATGTATCTTCAAAATCTGATTCCTCATCTTGTTTTGGGTAATAGGATATTTTCTCTCGTGTTATTCTCGGTTCAAACTCCACAGACACCCTGGGGGAGTTCTGTGGTGTAACATCTGTGCTACTCTGTGACAGGCGTTCCTCGCTTTCGCTGAATTGCTCATAGTCACTGTAATGCACTGCAATCACCTCATCATGTTCACTCTGTCTATAATGTAACCTATTCTTAGGCAGTGGTATAGCTTTACCGATGACTCTGAAATAATAAAAAGAAACATATCATACCTAGAAAGTGATAGATGGATTGTGTAAAAGGTGACATGATCAAAAAGTAAGTAATGACTGAGATGATGTATGATAGAGTTATGTGGTGGAGATAAAACTTGGTTTGCCAACCCTATGGGAGCAGAATACGGAGAAAGATGACGAAATGACGATTGTCACCATCTTATCGATAAGAAGTGTCAGAAAAATATGTACTGCTCTTTAATACATCTCTATCAGAATCTATTTTCCTTTTACACATATCCTCTCTTACTAGACCATGAAGCAGACCAAATTCAAAAAATACTACAAACACACTTATAAAAATATGTACTAAGTTACCTGAGTTGTGGATGCAGTTGTCTCCACTGCCTACACTCTTCCAGCATATGTTGTCTTGTTGTTTTTTCTCCATCTTCATTGTACAAAGTCCTTTCTATCTTCTCCCACTCTTCCTCTAATGTTTTTGTTGCAGCTTCTGTGTTTCTTCTCAAAGCTGACCCAGCACTACTGTCACTTTCTTCACTTCTAAAATCTGGAGTACCTTAGGAGTACAAGCAATGATTAAATTTGTGTATTTGGTAATAAATGAGTAGTACCAAGAATATAGAAGTTGAAAAGAAATGTGAGTTAAAACCAGGTATATGACAATCAAGTAGGAATTTCTTACCAGTTTCACTGTCAGAGAAAAAATCCGAAAAAGGTGTACTAACTCTGTCTAAACTTTCGTCAGAGTACGGTTGTATTTTAAATGATAAATCTATGTTTCTATTAACTAAGGCACTAGAATTCGCTGAAAGCGGTGGTAATTCTTGCACTGAACGATAGCCACACTTCTTATGGCTTATGTTTGGTAAGCAATCTATAAACTTTGCAATATTTTTCTCTCGAGCAGACAAAAAATTACGTGCCGACATAATCAAGGATATGTAACGATAATTATTTTCAGATTATCCATTTTTTCTAGCATATTCAACAATGTTATATTGCGCCTAAACACCAGAATATTTTCATTTCGTTTTGTCCAAAATATTCGTCGCTTCTTTATCATACAACTTGACAACTTCATTCAATATTTATTTATTTATCATTTCGAATTAGACAATCTGTCAAATCAAAGAGTATGAAATTTTCAAAACACTAATTGTCGGTCGTTCTTGCAAGATTTTAATAGTAATTGCAGTATAGAAAAGTAAAAACCCTTATTAAACATAAATTATTAAGAAATAAAGTTATGGCACATTTTTTCCAAAACGGAACATTAGTTTTAAAAAGTGTTTATACATTTTCGTTTAAATATAAATGGAATTTGTAAATATTCGCCTTTTACTAAAAAAATTGAAATGTCATCTGTCAATTGTTAATGTCACCGGTTCCTGTTTGTCAAAGTCAGTTTGTCACGCATTGCGGATTATTATAGGTGCCGCACTGAATAAAAGCGGAAAATCAATTTTTCTCAATTTATTTTTCTGTTTCAAACAGACCGGACTTGTTAGGAAAGTTTATAGTACCATGTCGGAAGCTTTTACAAAAACTGGTGATAAGTCGCAAGATGAGGTAAGAATTTTTAACTTAAAAACCCTTTTTATTTTAATATAGAAACTAAATTTAAATTCAATTAAATTTCGTTATTATTAAAGAAAAGAACAAAACCTTGTAATCCCTGAATATAAATTTAATAATAATATTACCACATACTTAAGAGCCTTGCTGCATTAGTCATTTTTAAGCAATGTTTAATTAATGATAACAATTTTTTTTAGTTACAAGCGTAGAATTTTTATGGAGTGTGTTTATTAAAAGTTTAAAAAATCAATTTGTACATGGAATTTAATTTTTAAAATCAATGTAATTTAAAACCATGATAAATTAGAGACTACTGTATTAAATGTTAATTAACATTTGATGCAAAGAAATGAAATACAACATCATTATAGAACTTCTATTTAATTAGAAATTATTGTGTTGTGTGTCTTGACATGAAGCCTCTCAAACAACAGTACCAAAATATTTACATACAATATGTTTTTCAGCCACAAACAAATTGGACCAGCAAAGCATCACAAACAATAATTTTTCAAATTTAATTATCAGTAATTTTATACTTGTAATATCTGATTAATAAAATATCTACATTATATTTAATTCTTTTAAAAAATACTGGCAACATGTTACAGTTTTTCTAGTAATGCAGTCTTTGGGTAAAACACCACTGTGTTTCCGCTGCTTGTTTGCTCTACTTTATATTAAAAAAAAACTTTTTAAACAACATAAAAATGACAATATAATGGGTACAGAATAGTAAAGCCAAACTAAGCTAAAGCTATCAACGTAGTTAACCAATTACTGATTTTTTTAACTAATATGTTTTGTCTAAGTCTTCACCTGTGTAAAATAAAAATCTAGTAATAAAAATAGTTACTTAGTAATAATGTTGCATTTTAATGCCAATAGTGTTTTTGAAATCACTCCAGTGATTTTGCAATTTATTTGTCATACAAATATACATTTTTTCTTATTGTTATTGATATAGATTTTTTTTAAATTATTCTCTTTTTATCTCACACTAGCTATTCCCATGCGACTTCATCCGCATGAATTTATGAAAATTTTAATTTATTGTTTACATTTGTCAAATTATCAATTGGAAATGTCAAAATGTCATGACATGATGTTAAACCATGGCAATCTTACTTCCTTGATGTTGGCAGCTTGTAGCTTATGGCTTTCCCACATCAGGGTTTTTATCCAATTTGTTTACCTCCTAAGTTTAATAGCGTGAAAATGTATAGCCTAAAGTGTGACGTAAGTATAGTGCTTTTTGTTAAAGGAAGCATTATTCAAAAAAATGCTGTGATTTCTGACATCTTACGCCTCAAAGTAGTGTGTGTTTACCACTTTATTATATTAGTATAGATTCTCTGTGTTAAAAGATACAAAAAAGATGTAGTAAAGATGACAAATCGGTCATTTACAGTCTGTTAAATTATTAGTAAGATTGTGAACTAACGAAATTGTTGACATTACTTTTGCATGAAAATTTGTATTTATTAATTAAATATGGAAATGTACAAAGGGTATCTAAATAAGGGGTATACTATCAACGGTTATGCTAAAATTATTACACGCACATTATTTATGTCGTAAAATATTGGAAATGAGTTTTTATCATTTCTCTGTTAAAGTAACTATTTAATCAATATAAAACATGTTTCGTTAGTGCGAACGTAATAAAATGCGCTTTTATGAAAGCTTCGTCGTAATTCAAAAGACTATCCCGGATGCCCTAGAGCCCTAGATCGAGGACAATGTGCTGGGTATATAGGCCGCGTGTGCAGACGAACATACTAATGTTTCTCTATATTTTATTATATCTTTTTTAATATATTTTTTTAATCGTTTAACATCAGCATTACTTTGTACAGATTGTCGAAAACTGTTGTTGTTTTTATATTTTTTTAATTGTTTTGTTAAATGATTTTTTTTTGTTTGCATTGTAATAGTTATTTTGGAGGAAATGCGCGTTGAAAAATAACATAGTCATAAGTTGAAATTACGCATTGCAGTGTGAAGTTTAAAGTTAGTTTTAAATTTTATTCAATCATCGGAAATCTGTAGTATGTTTTCGATGGATCTTACTAGAATAGTTATCAAATGAAGGCTTACTACCCGTATAATTATAGTTTAACAATAGTAATTAATTATTTTTTACTACTTTGTGCAGAAAATCCTGATGCCGTACACATATATCCTGCAAGTACCAGGCAAGCAGATCCGAAAGAAGTTATCCTTAGCCTTCAACTATTGGCTACGAGTAAGCGATGACAAACTTCGAGCTATCGGCGAGATTGTCCAGATGCTGCACAACTCCAGTCTACTGTGAGTTAATAGTATAACAAGATTCAAACTTTATAATAGGTCGCCATTAACGAGATCCGCGGTCAATTTTAAGTATCAGAAGTCAAGGACATATCGGAACGGCATATTTGCGTGTTGCCGTAACTGAAATATGCTTAAGGCCAAATTCTGAAACGAACCTTAAACGTTTCGTCAGCCCCTCTTACTATCAGACGTCAATTTTATTCGAATTTGACGCACACCTTAGACTAAACTATCGGAGGCCTAATTTTAGTTCCTTTCCCTTTCCACCCTTTTCTTAAGAGGAAAGGATGGGAAGGAAAAGTGGAGGCGACGCATAGGAAGGGGAAATATCCTCTTAATGTGCGTCTCCTCCTTCGTCAATAAGGGTAGGCAACGCATCTGCAATTGCGGATGTTTATGGGCAGCGGTCGCTTTCCATTTCGGTGGATTCAGGTGGCCGCTTGCTCGTTTACCACTTTAATTATAAAAAAAAACAACAGTCGCGCTTTGATTACTATGACCTTATATGGAGGTGCACACATTCCGATTTTTAATTGTGCAACTAAACAATTGAATAGACAGCGAAACAAACGACAATCGCACACTTTTGCGATAGTTCAGTCAAAGGTGTGCGCCCGCACTAAGCGTTATCAATAATGACGATGTTACATAATTAATTGTCGTTATGTGACCGATTTCTAGCTTAGCTTAGTGTATTGCAGTAACAGCCCATTGTACTTTAGTTGCCTTTTTACAATACCTATAAAGATAAAAACATCGTTATTTATAATTCATTCTTTCGAAAGCCTGGCATTGAATTATATTGCTATACAATTTTATCGTCAAGTAAATAAAAAATATTACATAAGGAGTAAACAATGGGTAGGTAATTCGTAAAAAAACCGCATGAGTAAGGGCTATGGTTTCCACAACTCTGAACTAAAGACAACACGCATCGAAAGACATCGCACTTTTCGAGTCAATGTACAATAAAATGCCCTTTTTATCAGATATATGTATCTTGATATGTCTAGATTTGGAAAAATATTACCGTTTTTTCAACAAAATATTCATTTGCTTATGGTCTCAATGATGACTAAGAGTGGGCTATCTTTGACTAAACTCACACAACTGTTGTGCGATTGTCTATTGTCGATTGTTTCGCAGCCAATTCAACTGTTTAGTTCTAAAACTAATATCGAGTTGTGATTGAACCTCCATATATTCTCAATAGAATGAAAGCGCGACTGAAAAGTTGTAACATAGTCAGTGTGCGACCGCTCTAAAGACTACAGTGCAAGACACAATCCGGTAACAATTTTAAAAAAAATAAGCAGAAAGGTATTTTAGAATTATACTTATTGCAGATTAACGGCCTGTCAGATTTTGTAACCTTATCTGTAAGTGACGGCATTAAGCTATCTGAGCCTCTATCAGCCAGTGGTGGGACAGGCCCTTATTTGTAAAGTATTGTTAGTTACTAAGAAGAAAAAAATCTTTTAAAGATGGCATAATTTATAACGGACTTATATTGGATTGACACAAATCGGTAAAAGTGTGCCGCAAACAACAACATTTGTTATGGTATCCAATTAACATAATAATGTTTTTGTTGTACAAAACAAATGTAAAGAGACTTTTACAATTTCCATTCCATTCGGTGTAAGATTATCGCTGTTCTGATTTCGACAGCTTTTTGTGAATCGTAATCAAGGCATCTAAAGGGCGTACCGGCTCACTATTCGTCCCCACCGAGGGGCTCGGAGCCTACCCTTAGTTACGGTGACTAGGCCATAGTCAACCACGCTGGCCCAGTGCGAGTTGGTTGACTTCACACATATCTTTGAATTTCTTCGCCGATATGTGCAGGTTGCATCACGATGTTTTTCTTCACCGTACGAACGTCGGGTTATTTACATATGAAAATTCGAAAAATCGAAAATCACATGGGTGCGGCGGGATTCTAACCCAAGACCTGTACATTACAAGGCAAGTGCTTAGACCACTGAGCCACCGACGCTCTTATTTAAATTCGCGGTTCCCTAATTACGGTATAAGCTACCATTCCCTTAATGTCGTGGTTTTACCTATGACGTAAACCCATGATTTCTAATGTTGTACGGCATCTAGCGAGGTACGTTGGTAGAGAATGAAATTCTAAAGTTTTTACTATTTGAAGAAGTCTCGTGCAAAAATTGAAATTGCATACAATACGTGAGAGACACGTGGACTGAACGTAAAATTCATGTCTGGTCAATCTAGTTTTGATCCGGATTTAACTGGAAATTATTATTATCTGCATTGTGTTTTATTAAACAGGTTGTTTACTCTTGGTGTAGACTGCAATGTCACTTTTCCAATGAGAATATCTGGAATGAGGATAAGTCTCTGCATTTTACACACATCGTAGTTTGCCTCTTGCACTCAGAGCAGTTTAATGGTTACGGATGTCCTTTCTGAATGCTCTAATTCCAAAGCTATATTAAGGGACATTCTCAGGAATAAACTGAGTATAAGCAAAGTTTGTACTAATATTTGCTTATACCCTGATTATTCCTAAGTTTAACTTTATACCGCGTTTGTTTGTAAGGCTGTTAATGTCAGAGTTCCGCAGTTATAGCATAAGTACGTAAAGACATAAAAGCAATAAATAATAAAGCGATATAATGAGGAGTAGCACGTTGTTAATTATTTATTTATTTATACGTAATGTTTAATATTCCTGATGAATGCAGAAAAACATAAAAAAAAACAGTATGCTGAGAATAACCATGTACCGTTAGCTGATAAAAACTGTGTTCGAGGTTACTACACATTCATTGGTGAAGTGTGCTCAAGGAACAACTAGGGTTGCGACGATATTTTCTAATCGACTAACTCGATGTCGATATTTTGACTATCGACAATTCCAACATCGTATTTGAAGTTCATCATTCATGATTCGCAGAGTGAATTGTCGGTTATACTAATTTTGCAGATTTTTATGAATATATTTGAATTGTCCAGTGACAGTATTTTATAATATCTGATAGTCACGCAGTTAAAAGGTTCTACTATGTAATATTTAAAGATACACTAGTTGTATTTATAAAATAATTTGTACGTTTCACTTGAATATACGAATATTAACGTGTTATCAATACTTTTAGGTAATTGCACTATTTACTAGTGAATCACATTTTATTAGTTCAATAATCTGTAAACATCAATACGTTGTCCTCGGATAAACTATCGATATATTGTTATACGTCACTACTCAAATTACAATACAATAAGCTTAGTTACAGAATTACTCTGTCGAGTCACAATTAATTAACAGTGCTAATTAAAAATTTGTTAATTAAAAATGCCACTGTTAGGCATTATCTGTTGCCACCGTTATTTTTAAGCGACTTTGTTAATACTATGTCTCATGTAACTAAATATTTTCATCTTATTATCTCCATTGTTTTTTAAACAAAATTGGAAGTGTAATTTTTTTTACCCTACTTTCGACATTGGTCTAAATTTTATTTTAGCGTTCTTTTTGTATAGATTAATGCCATTATTGGTCTTGTTTTCTATTGCAATTTAATCATCACCTCTTTGTATCTCCTAGAAAATATTATGGAAATTAAATAGGTTTAGACATCCAGTATTGGCCCGACTTGCGAGTTGACTTTAATACTTTTGGAGTATGGCCTAATTGTTAATTGTATGGACATCTGAACAGATAGTCGTAAGTTCTCTCCTTTCGACTTTTTCCATATGTACATGCTTTAATCTGTTCTATTCAATCTGCTTTTATTTTAGAAAACTTCAAACATAATGTAATATGTTCATTTTTTTTCTTTCCAGCGTTGATGATATCCAAGACAATTCAATCCTTCGTCGAGGTATACCAGTGGCGCACTCTATCTACGGCATAGCAAGTACTATTAATGCTGCAAACTACGCTATGATTATAGCACTCGAGAAGACTTTAGAGTTGGGGCATCCACAAGTAAGTAGAATACAGCTTGGACAATTAGAAGAGAGTGGGAGAGACCTCTTCCTGTTTTATTATTTTTTAATTAGAAAGGATAGCAAGTCGTTGGTTAAGCATGGAAGGGGTGATGTGGGAAGGAAATAACATCCTCTCCTTGTCCTATTAGAAGACTCTATGTCTTTTATATCATATTTAGTTTCAATTTTCCTTTCCACATTTTTCTTAAGATGAAAGGATGGAAAGGTAAAGTGTATTTGAGGGTGGTGGATACGCATATGAAGGGGAAATGTCCTCTTTATGTGCGTCTCCTCCTCCGTTTATTAAGGGTAGTCGACGCATTTGCAATTACGGATGTTTATGGGCAGCGGTCGCTTTCCAAAACGGTGAAATCAGGTGGCCGCTTGCTCGTTTGCCACCTTACATTAAAAAAAATATTAAACAGCATTTACATCCATTTTCCACTAGCGTTACTAATTTGTGTTGTTTGTACCATTTTCACTGGCCTCGACTGTAATGGCAATGTCACAGACGTGGGAATTTTATAACAAAGGGGATATTCTTTATAGAAGTGGTTAAATAAAATGTAATTTTAATGATAATTTGTTATTTAAACGTTAAAATGAGACGTTTGGAAACATTGTATTTCATAGTTTAGGTTTGTGTGAACAAAGCGTATAGAGTCATAGTTTATTGTGCAGCGAATATTTGTAACAAGTAGCTGTATTCGTTTTATTATTTTATTGCACTCTAAAAGGTCATTGTGGTCAAACAAAAATAAACATGTCTAAGTTAGAGTTATTTATATTGTATCGAATGAAGAATTTAAATGAATTAGCAATGGGATTTACACCCTAAATATTAAAGGTTCTTATACCATGTTTATAGTGTTCCAGTCCAACGACTGAATACAGCGCTGGACTATTGAAAACCCATACGGATACCCACACTACATTCCAGTATACGCTTACATGTGTTCTCTCGTAATCCAGCGCTGGATGACATCACTGGACTCAAATAATATAAAAAAGGAAAAATGCCTTTTTTCCACTAGGGTGACATCGGCTACGACGATGAAAATAGAAATGCTACATAGGGTATGTCGCGCCAGTGGAAAGAAGGTGTAACAATGTTGTTTCAGGCGACGGCGGTATACACGGAGCAGTTGCTGCAGCTCCACCGCGGCCAGGGTATGGAAATCTACTGGCGAGACAATTTCCACTGTCCCTCCGAAGACGAGTACAAGCAGATGACCATTAAGAGTTAGTGCACATTACACATTTTTATACACGGATAGGAAATGACAGCTTTAATATTTAACACTTTCAGGGTCAGTCCCACCACTGGCTGGTAAAGGCTTATAGCTTAAATTAACGCCACTGTCAGATTAAGGTAACAAAAACCGATTCCATCACATTCCATTGTTATGAGACAATTTACGATTTGGTGGGACAGGCCCTAAATATCCCTATTAGTTCAAATTCTCGCCACCGCTATTACCGTCAGCGCCATGGAAATAATTAAGTAGGTACAAAATACAACTGCCCATAGACATGATAGATTACCATAGTTTATGGTATTTGAACAATAAACTTGGTAGCTTTATGTGTTAGTCAAACTTGCCTTTCTAATAAATTTGCTGTTGACTTCGAGCGGCTATTAAGTTTGAATCTTGTTATACACCTTTATATGGAAACACTGGTCTAATCTTTTTGCGTGTCTAGACTTCACGCAATCTTACTAATATTATAAATGCGAATATATTGATGGATGGATGGATGGGAACTGCTGAACGGATCTCGATAAAATTTGGCAAACGTATAGAACACAGTCTGGAAGAATACACTACTTACTTTTGTTTTTAATTCTACGCGAAGTTAGTATTGCTTATTGTATATTGTTCATACACAGTGATGACGTCATTAGTCACATGACATTGTACTAAGGTCAACTTACGAGGACAACCATTAAGTTATTTTTAATCTCTAATTACGTCGTTAAATTCTAAATAATTATAACAAAAACAATACGAAAACTTCTTGCGCGTCAAAATAAACCGTTTCCACAAAACTATGTCATCAGTTTTGACAGCTGTCAAATTAAACTTTAGTTTGACAATCTACAGCGTTATAGTGTATACAGACTTATCTGACTCAATGACTTCTGGTAAAAAACATTAAAAAACCTTCTTATAATACTGGTTATCAGCCATCTAAATGTATTAAACCAAGTGTCGTTTTATTAATGTGCGTGCCGGAGGCTTAGTTTTATCTCTTTTCCCTTTCCGCCCATTTCTTATAAGGAAGGGGAGGAGAAAGTTTTGATGGTGGAGGGGACGCAAAGGTAGCGAAAATATACTCTTGGTGTGCGTCTCCTCCTTGGATTTGGGCAATGTATCTGCAATTGCGGATGTCTAAACAACAGCCGCTTCGCCATTTTGGCGATATCAACCGGCTTGCTCGATTGTCATCTTATAACAAAAACCGTGCTATAAAGATTAACTCCGACCATTTTAACAAAGGCTTCAATTGCCTTTTTTATAGAGACGGGAGGTCTATTTATGTTGGCCATCCGTCTGATGCAGCTGTTCAGCGACAACAAGTCAGACTTCAGCCGACTCTCCTCCATCCTAGGCCTCTACTTCCAGATCAGAGATGACTACTGCAACCTCTGTTTGCAAGAGGTATTGTAACACACTTTTAACACTAACGGCCGTATACTGAAACGAAATTTAAACACTTAGCTTCGTAAACGCCATACAAAATATGTGAATATTTTAATGGAATTTGTAGTTGTATATTTTAATGTTGTTTCAGAATTTCGCTGTAGATATTTAAGGCTTTTTCAACTTTAAGTATGCTATCAGCCGACTACTGATTCTTAAATACTTCGTAAGCTTTATAATCTGGCAGACGTCAAAATATATCCTTTGTTTTTTTTTAATTTTTATTTAAGTAGCTGTTATATATTTCAGTGTTTCACTATTCGGCCGATAATATTACCAATTAAATCTATATTTAAGGTTATTCAATTTAAAATTGTCTAACTTTTTGGTTTAGATATATCCATAAATTATTTGACAGTCATAAGAAACGTATATTTCTTCAGATATAGTGTTTATTTAACCCAAGGATATGTTATGTTGATATTTGTTACCTTAGTATACGGTAATTAATTATTATTCTAGTATTCAGAGAACAAGAGTTACTGCGAGGATCTAACCGAGGGTAAGTTCAGTTTCCCCATCGTGCACGCCATCCGCGCGCAGCACGCCGACAACCAGGTCCTACGTATCCTTTGAAACCGTGTTGCATGTTACATGTTTTTTTTATTGGCGGCTCTACGTCCTTCCTTCTTGGTCCTCTGAACATGTTTAAGGGGACCAGGGGTTCAAGGACGTTTAGGTGCGGGTGGGAATTCTCAATTACAATTACAATTTTCTTACTGATAGTTTACATTTCATCTATATTCTAATTTTGCTTTTTTAAATATCTAAATGATTAAGGGCCTGTCCCACCACTGGCTGATAGAGGCTCAGATAGCTTAAGAATGCCGATGTCGGATAAAGGAACAAAATCCGATATTGTTATCACATATTTTACACGTTGGATTGTTATTTTGTTGAAAAACAATAAAGGAAGATATGAATTCTTAAACCGGGAGTGCAGATATCTTACGACAACGCACCCGTGACGTGGAGGTGAAGCGCTACTGCGTGTCGCTGCTGGAGAGGCTCGGCAGCTTCCAGTACACGCGCGACGCGCTGCAGGCTCTCGACGCGGACGCACGCGCAGAGGTACACATAAAACACTAGCTGTAGCTCGCCACTTTGTCCGCGTCATATAAAAAAATACAGCCTATGTTACTCAGATAAATTACCTTTCTAACGGTGAAAGAATTTTTAAAATCGGCCCAGTAGTTTTTGAGTTATTTCAATACATACAAATCCTTACTTTTTATAATGTAAGTATAGATAGAGAAAATAACCTAATCTTAGTTTTTTAAATAATACACCTAAACTTACTAGATAAAACATATAAAAACAACATAATATAAATAATGAAAAATAAGCTATAAATCGGAAAGTTTAGATGTATGTTTGAGAATTTGTAGCCTAAACTGCTGAACGGATCTTAAAAAAATTTGGTTCAAATGTTGTGAATAGTCTGGAAGAACACATAGGCTACTTACTAAGTTTTTGTTAATTTCGCGTCAAAAGAAGTCGCGGGCGAATGCTAAGTATACTTACTCGAGTATACTCGAAAACATCAAAAATAAATTTACAAAAAAAAACAAAACCGACTTCCAAACAAAATACACGAAAAACAAAACAAAATGCACCAAAAACAAAACAAAATACACCAAAAACAAAACATTCTCAAAAAAACAGTACACTAAAAAGTAACGAAATAATTCCTTGAAAATAGTAAACCTACCTTATTGTAAGTGTTATTTCTATATTGTACAATTATTATTACTTTGATGTCAGTGTCAGCCGAGGTATGCAGTGATATTTCTACGTAAGAGTTTCCACATTTTTACCATAACAATTGACAATTGAAAGTATAGTAACAATTAAGTAATGAATC